GTCGCATTCAGCAGCAGTGTTACATGTGCAAGATAAAGCCTTTTAACTCAGCTTTCTCACTTGTTTCCAGAAATTTTCACTTGTGGCAAGTACTATGAGAGGGAGATGCTGCTTCCCTGCAGGGGCAGGTGATACCTGCTAGTTTAGGACGGTTTCCATTAGCATACGAGGCCAGGAAAATGTCAAACTAGGAAGGAGAAGAGGAATGGCCTCAGATGCACTCGCTGCACTACTCTGGTAGGAAAAGCATTTACTTCATTCAGTTGCTTGTCACAGCTTTTTTGTGTTGGAGCCATACACAACTATGCATTTAGAGCCAATTTTTGCACACTCTTGCAGGCCCTTCACCTTGGGGACAGGAACCTGGACTTGCTGTTGGTGCGCAGCACAAATAAACAGGGTTTTATCCAAGAACTTCTTACTGTTTTGTAAGTTTGCAAAGAGCTTCACATGAAAGCCTACATTGTTTTGAAGTGCTAGACATTTTCCTGCTCTAAAGTTTCTAACAGGGAACTTCTGCTTGGTTTTGGATTCAGGTCTTGTCGGTTCCTTGGCTGCCAAAATGACTTTTGTGAGGCAGATAAAACTTGGAATAAATCTGGTTCAACCTTTGCAGCCAGCTCCTACGCCTATGAAGTTTCTGAAACAAAACCCAGAGTCTCTGCGGGAAGGAAAAAAAAAATTCCACCTCCAGCACTTTCGATTGTGGTTCAGTTCTCAGTCGGGTTTTATACTTTGCTCTCATCGCAGCCCTAAAATCGCCCAGCGAAGCCCCCTTTTGATCCGGCCACGGCTTTAATTCTCTTTCCCTTCGGAGCTGCGAGCCCCTGGCAGCGCGGGCAGGGCGGGCGCGGCGCTAACAAAGGGCCGAGCGCGGCCCGGGGCCGGCGGGAGCCGGGGCGGTGCGGCCGCTCCGCTGGCCCCGCGTCCCGGGACCGCAGCCGCGCTGCTCGGCCTTCCGCTCGGCACGGCGCGCCGGCGGAATCACCTGCACGACACGGTAGAAAAGAACAAGAAATAAAAACACGAAGGCACGCTAATGCCCGGGCAGCTGACTTGCTTTGAAAGCGCCGTTCACCCCCCGCTCCCTCTGCACGGTGCCCGCTGCCCCGCTCCGGCGGCGGCTCCGAGCGGAGCGCTGGGCGCGGCAGGAGCGGGCGCTGCTCGGCACCGGCGGGCGGCGGAGCGGAGGCTCTGCCCCGGGAGCGGCGGGGAAGGGGAAGGCGGCGGCGGGGCCCCGGAGCTGCCGTCCCGGCCCGGCCCGGCCCGCTCCGCCCGCAGCCGCGCTGCCCCGTGCCCCGAGGGGTGGGGAGGAGCCCTCGCGTCCCCTGGGACGGGGTGCGGGGTCGCCCCTCCAGTTGTTCCCTCGCCTCGGACGGGAGAGGACAGACACAAACAAACACTGAGTGCCAGCCCCCGGGGATGTGTCGCCGGCTTGGCCGACCCCCGCCAGCACCCAGCGCTCCGGAGGGGTCTGGCACGGCAGTCGGGAGCCCAGGGGTTCTCTGCTTATCTCGCAGAACCGAACCCTTAGAGCACCCCTCGCGCAAAGGCAGCCTGGGTCGACCCCCGCTCCCAGCTCTTTCCCGGGGGCGTGGAAGGCATAGGGATGCCCGAGCTGTGTGCTTTTCAGGGTGCAGGGTGCTTTTTCAGGGTGCTTTTCGCGCTTTTCTCTGCAGGGGCAGCAGGAGGGTTGGTGTTCGGGCAGCTGCTGTCACTTTGCAAAACTTTTTAACATTCAGCCCGTGTCCAAAGATACAAAACATACTTTTGAATGTGTATGTACAAATAAATATATATTATAAATAAATATTATACATAAATATAAAATATGCTTTTGTATGGGGACAGCTTTGGAGGCCTCTTGGCTTTTTCCCTCTGCAGTTCAATAACATCTTGTGTGCTCATGGACTTGCCTGGCCCTTTGCCTGCCCCTGCCCCTGCTCCCTGCTGCATCTCCCTCCCTGGCCTCATCCCATGCCCACAGGGTTATGTGCAAAGCAGCAGAAGAGCAAAACCTGATGAGTTCCCCTCAAGGAAAACCCAAAAGTGGCCTTAAGGAGTAGAAAGGTTGCATTTGTATAACTATGCACACGACCTGCAGAGGTGATGCTGTGGGAGCCATCCTGTTCCCTCTCTCTGGCACCTTCATCACCCCACCATGCAGGCAAAGCACCTCACTTTTCCAAAAGCACAGCCCAACAGTCAGCCACAGCCAGCCTTGGCGTGGGGAATTGATACCACTTCCCACCGAGCCTTCACCAGCAAGCAGCCAGCACTTGTCAGGAAGGGTCAAGGCATTGCGTTTCTTCGCTCCAGAAATGAGGAGACCGAGGGAGGACACAGTGATGAGGAAGGACAGAGGCAGTTTTTAATGCTGGCTGGAAGCACAGAGGGAAGTGGCACTCACAGACATCTGCAAGGGAGAGTGTCACCCAGAGGGTGCTGCTTCTTGGCTGAGCAAGCAGGCATTTACTGTGCTCACCCTTTTTCTGGGAAAGGGCTTTTAAACAAGACCTGGGTAGCAAATGTGCAGGTGCTCTTTGCAGAGGTTTCCCTGCCTTGCACAAGGATCAGCAGCATTGTTTGGGCACCACACATCCATGGATGGCTCCTGAACAAGCGAGCAAAGGGGTTTGGTGGTTGTCTTGAGGGACCTCAAAGTGTGTGCATCTTGAGATTTGGGAGCCTGAGGAAAGCAAGATCAGCAAGAGTCGCCAGCTGATTTCACAAAGTATCCCGCAGAGCTGCAGGATCAGCAGCAAATGCAGTGCCAGAGCTGTGCGGTGCACAGGCAGATGTTCAGCATCCTGAGACTCTGGGCTCTGCCACTCCGTATCTCTGCCCTTCCACTCTCCCTACAGTCCAGACCCGGCCCCTGTCCCGTTTGCCTAGAGTCTCTTTGCCCAAAATGATTGCCTGCTGAACTCAGCCTGCAGGCAATGTTTGCCCTCCAAGGAAGTCATGCCCAAGCAGCTGTAGAGTACACTGTGAAATCACCACACCTATTTCTGGGTGTTTATGAGCTCGTCTGCCTCTTTTGTCCTTCCTCTGCTGAAACATCCAGCTCTACAATAAAGCTATTTCTGATTCCTGCTCTGTGTATCCTCTTGTTTGAGTCCGCCAAGACTGAGATACTGATGTACAAATACATAACAATGTTGTATTCCTTTTTTCATGTGAAAGAGAACTGGGAAAATCACCTACAATGAGGGGTTTGTTTTCCCACTGTACAAGGTAATGTCTGCCTTGCCCTGCTTTTTTTCTTGGAAGCCTGAATGGATGACAGAGCTTGTCAGACTGAGACAGAAGAGAAAAAAAATCAAGTGAAAATTTATTTGCAGGGAAGTTACTTAATCATATTTTTGTACTTTTCATTGTGCCTCGAGCTTTTGTTTATATCTGCATATCTCATATGTTTGGGAGTTGCTGAAGGTACATGGCAGTCCTGTTGATGCATCAATTAAGGACCACAGTGACAAGTGCCATGCTCTCTGAGGTGCCCAATGAACTTTCCAAGACAAGAATCAATGTTCCTGGAAAATGAACCTCAAAAGGAAAACAAATGTTGTGACTGGGATACCTTTTTAAATTTTATCTAGAAAATTTTAAAAATGCTTTGCTCTCGTGGTCGTATATCATTAGCAATGAAGCAAGGGTGTTCTTTTATTTTTTTCCACAGAAAGCTGCCTCCAAGGCAAAGAAGAGCTGAAAGACCTAAGTATGGAGGAGGAAGAGGAGAAGGAGAAGCGGAATTGTGCATGCCAATGCCATTGCACCCCGATCAATCTTCCCACAATTACACAGAACGATGCAGACACACACACGTGGCTGCCTCTGAGCCAAGTATGTCCTGAGTTATGCAGAGCCCCTGTGTCCTCCCTGCTGTGGAAGCTGTGCTGGACCCACTGTGCTCAAGGCCTGAAAAACATCCTCTTAAACACAAGGCAGCAAGACATTTTCTGGGGCTGAAACTTGCTGGAGGCTCTCTGGGGACAGGGACCTGTCAACCATCCTGAGGCAACGCCCACCAGCTCCTGCAAGGTGGCCCCTCAGGATCAGCAGCAGGCAAGCAGAGGGACCGTGTGCAGGGACAGGCCTGTGCTGGAGTCTATAGACCATTCCCAAATCAGCAGTGCCAAAAACTGCCAGTCTGGGAGGATAGGCTGAGACAAGTGCAGGAGGGGCATGGAATCCAGGAGAGGAGGAGATGGCTGAGAGTACTGCAGCCCAGAGGATGCAGCCATGACATGATCTCCACACCCACACATGACCCAGAAAGTTTGCGTGGGAGACTGGGTGAATTAGGAGAAAAAAATAAGTCACTGAAGGGCTGATCCATGCAAAGTTACTCACAGTGGCTCCACCCCTGAGCTGCCAAGCAGTGGGCACAGGGGAAGCATTGCAAGGTAGGTGTCTGCCAGTATTGGAGGGACAGGCTGGAGAGCTGCAGGGACCACTCTGCTCCAGCACAGCCTGCTCCTGCCTGGGCAGCACTGCACCTCACGAGAGCCAGCGCCGTGGTCAAGGAGGAGCAGGGGAATGCCATCACTGGAGGTGAACAGAGCCAGACTGCAGGGGAGATAGCAGTGGGTGAGGCTCAGCCTGCGTCGTGAGGGAATGCTGGGCTCCTTGTTAGCTCCACGTTTTCCTTTCCTCTCCCTGCTGGTGTGAGAAAACGCACGCTGCATTTGTTCGGCTGCCAGGAATATGGCAGCTCAAGCACCATCTTGTTAGCTTTGCTGTGTGTCTTTTCCCACAGCATTGCTTTAAATAATGAAGGGAGTCATGATCCACCAGCTGGATTAGACGTTATGAACTTATCTGGCTCAAATCCAATGGTGATATATTTGGCCTCATTATTTTATGCACAAATGCCACAAAACAGCACAAGATTTTTTTTTTTCCTAAATACTCTTTTTCTTTTAGCACTGACATTTCTCTTATTTGCATTAAGATTTGCAATGAACAGCCTGTGCCAGACCAAATTTGTCAGATACTTCTGCTTTTATGGATGGTTTGTTCCAGGAAATCAGGGTTGGAATTGTATGCCCTGACCTCAGGGATAGGTCAGCGAGTACTCCCAGGATGGAGAACATCTTTGCACTTTCAGGAACCTGCTGTGGAAGAAATGGGGATCTTGCTGGTGACTGCATCATGGTGCCATGGCCAGGACATCAGTTCAGGAAAATAGAAAATTGGGTCCTCATGTGATGGGGCTTTTAGCAAGCATCTGAGCTGTAGAAGGAAGATAAAAACGTTCAGCCTTCTTTATAAAGTACTCAGAGGCTTACAAGACATTTATTAAATGTAGGTCTAGATGAAGGAGGTGGGAAGTGCTGTTGCAGGAACCACACCCGTGCTGCTCCCAGCACAGGGACCCAACAACGCCCATGCAGGGTGACAGATGCAGTGGGCAGGGAAACAGACACACAAGACTTTCTATTCCCTGCTGTGGGAATCAGCCCCACGTCACTGGGAGACAGAGACAGGGAAGGCTTTCGGAGGGAGGACAACTGACTGCCTGCAAAAGGCAGAGATACAAGATCAGAGGTCAGGGATGGATGAGAAATGCTTTGAGCACACAAAGATTAGAGGGCAGAAGCCTTCACTGTGGATGCTTTGAGCTTGTAACAATACAGATTCTACAGAGTCTGGCCTAACCTGAGAAGCATGAAATTGCTCCAGACCAGGCTCTTGATATTCTAGCAAAGTAAAATAAAAAATTCACAAAGAGATACCTTTGCTATTCTAGCAAAGTAAAATAAAAAATTCACAAAGAGATGCCAGCCACCTGGGATGTAAATGCCCATCAGCTTCAAAATGATGATTTCTTAGTGATAAAAGTTCAAGAAACGAGGGTGTTGTGTGGGATGCTTTACCTAGCCATCCTGGCAAGATCACGCTGTGTTACAATTCAATTCAGCCTTCAGGCAATGCACTCCCGCTCTGCTTCCAGAACCAGTCAATGTCTGCTCTGAGTATTTCATCTGACAATCCAGAGAAAACAGGAGATTAGAGAAGCAGAAACTTACAGCATTTAGGGGGAGTCTTTTTTCCCCCTTTTGTTTTGTGTTTCATATAGTGTTAGTCCTGTGCGTACCATTGTGCCGAGTCTGCTGTTTGAAGTAGCTTCTGAGAAGTTAAGACCAAGTTGGTGAGAATCTGGAAAAAACATGAACACAATGAACCTGAAAAACAAAATCAGGCTCTCCCCATTTTGTTTTTCATTAAACAGAGAAAGGGAAGAGAGTGCTCCACGTATTCAGCCATTCAAGTGCCATGTACTCGGATACCGTCTGGGTGAGCCCAAGCATCGCTCTGCAAATATTGACAGTCTCTTCATTTAAGCAAGAGCCCTCAGAGTCTAATTTTAAGTGCTCGTTTTGTCTATTCCTCGATAAAAGTCAGGCAATTAGGGGAAGAACAAGCCTGAGTGTGGTATCTCTTCCAGACATTTCCACCCTGTACTACGAAGCACCTACTCATGACACGGCTGCATCATTGCTATTGTCAGAACCAAGCCTCCTCCCCCAACAGCTCAGCTTCTAGATGGATGTTTTAGTCTCTCATATGAATGAAATTATTTAAGGTGAAACCTAGAAGTGCATTAATGTTTTTTTAGCATACTCTGGGACATTTTACAACCTCATTAAAATGCCTGCTCAACTAAGGATTTCTTCTCAAGGTGGTAAGCGCCGTTCCCAGGCACTTCACAAACCAGAATGACACATTTGGATCTTCTGAATTCGCAGTGGAAAAATTCCCAGCTCTGGGACAACATGCAGAAACTGGTTGATTTCCTACAGTTTAATAACATTATTGGAAAACTCAGGGCAGGAGGGAGATAATGCCTCTTTCTTGCAATGTAATCAGGAAGTGGGATTTAGGAAGCTGGGGTGTATTTCCGCCTGCACACACACACACTCCCCACCTTGAATGTGCTCAGGATGTGGGTGTTAGTCCTGCAGAAAGCACCACTGGATGTTTAATGGCCACTGGTGGCTGGGATTTTGACTCCACATCATTTGCAGACAGCTCAATAAAAGAAAGGCCGGTGAGCTTTCTCTGCTGGGACAGTCCCTAATCCCATGGCTCCTGACGTAAATCTCAGGCCATCTGTGCATTAAGATGGCCCTCTCTCTTTTCCTGGGTTACAGAAATGAGATACAATAATTAGATCCTTTGAGCTGAAAGGACACAGGGCCATGCCTGCTCCTTGATGCAATGATATGAGGCGACAGGCAGAGGTTTCAGCAGCATTTTAAACCCACCAGATAATCAATACAGAGGCCGAGGAGCAGTGATGGGGTTTACAGCTGAACAGACAAGGTGTCGCATCACGTTTGACCTATTTCTCAGCATGAGCATCACTTCTGCCCCAGTTGTCTTTTAAAAGATATCAGAGGATACTGCTACCACTGCAGAACTAGAGGTAAACATCACAGTCATCCAAGAAGGTGTTCAGTGGGCTCCCTCAAGGGTTAAATTACCAATGCCCAGTGCAATATTTTTGTAATATTTCTTTAACACTGAAAACAAAACCAGTCCAATGGTTCAGGGAAGACTGTCAGCAGGCTTCTGTTTTAACTTACCCACTGGTCCACCCAGTCACTATCTAGTGTATTTAGGTTCCTCCCAGGCAGCCTCATCCCTATGGAAGGATGGGGCATCATCTCCCATTCCCACCCTCCTGCAGTCACTACAGGCTGACTATTGCCAAATTCAGGCCCCTGTCAAGCTGCCAGACTGGAGCAGGCAGGCCCAACAATATAGGAGTGTAGTCACTCCAATTCATCTTGTAGAATGAATCCTTGCTGCTGGAAGAACAAAGCCGTGCTGATCAGCAGGTATTTGTGTGTCGGGGTCCTGCCCCAAAGAGGGGCGTTGGTTCATGAGCCTCCTGTCCCAGAACCTATGGAAAGTCAGTCCCAAATGCCATCACATGCCACAAGGAAGAAGTTACTAGGTCTGGAGACTCCAGGCATTATCCTGCCAGTGTTGTGCTGGAGGTGTAAGACCGCTAGGTCAGTAAAGGTGTAGGCAATGAGGAACTGGTCCAAGCTCCTCATATATGGGGATGAAGGCAAAAGCAGCCATAGGGGCATTTTTCCAGATTGCCCCACTACCTGAATGGCTGGCACTAAAACTGGCCCCCAGTTTTCATGTTTCAATGTACAGAAATACACAGATGATAGATGGTTCTTGTTCCCAATGAGGGCACAGATCTGCCTTGGTTGAAGTCCAAGAGCATGCAAGAGAAGAGCCATCCCTGACGTGGCACAAAGTGCTTTTGACCACTGGGACTCCATGCACGAAGTAATTTCCTCCTTAGCTAGCTGATCTTACACTGTGCTTCCAGGATCTCTTGCTGCAGGGCAAAGTCAAGGCCTGCACCAGGATATTTAGAAACAGAAGCAGCAATTTGTATCCCTCCTTTAACGAACAAAGCCTTCATTCATGCCAGATTGAAACACGAATTACATGGCTTGGATCCTCATCTGCCATTTAATGAACTCTTGTCCCAGTGCTACTGGCCAGGAAACAAGTCATTTTGGATATATGTTATTTCACCTCTGTATCTGATTCATAGCCACTGGGACTGGAAGTGTCTGAAGAGGATTTTCAGCCTCTCTGAGCCCCTTGCACATGAAGAGGTGAAGGTGACAGGAGAACCCTCCTCCTTTCAGGTTTGCACACCTTTCCACCCTGCTCTCCCATGCTGACTGCCATTCAGTGCAGTTCAGGACATCTCCTCATGTCCCCTAAACTCCATCCTGCCAATTGCAAAGTACACAAACATGTTTCAGTCCCTGGATGGAGAAACTCATGGGAATTTCAGATTCAGTTTGAAACTAATTACAAATAAATGCTGCTAGGCAGATGAAATTCTGCAGGTTGGATCTGCAACTGCGTGTCCTGCTCCTGGGTTACCTCGTGTCTAATGTGCTCCCTTTAGCAATTTGTCCATTTTGTGCTGCAGAAGGCAGATATCTGCTGCTTCATTGCTTGTAAATCTCCTTTCCTTCATGGCACATGCTAATGACCTCCTGAGGTCCTGCAGGTCTGGGTTTCTGTTTTCTTCTCAGGTACCCATTCAGACAAAGGAACCAAGCTGCAGGGACTGAACATCTTTGAGACCATCACCTTCATCAAACTGGGCAGAAAGCTTGGGATTCCTCTGGAGGGAGCTAACAGGATGATTGTCTTGAAGCAAGACATGAAACAAGGTTAAATAAAAGCCCCACAGATGCAAATTTGTGGAAGCCTCTTTCAGCCTTAGAAGAATCCTTTGCCTGTCATCCCCAATGCAGCCAGCTGGTGCTCTCACCCTTCCTCTCCTCCTCACAGAAGTGTGCCAGACACCGAGATTATGACCCGTGTCTCTCAGCACTAAAATAGTCTCAATGTTTAGACTTCCCTCCCAGCCACTGTGTGTCCCCAAGGGGACCATCATCTTATTTTACAGTAACAGACTAGTTCACCCTGGTTTTCAAGTTGCTTCCAGTTCCTGGGTCCTTTCCCCTTGCTGCCACAACCAGAAAGCCAGGCAGGTTTCTCTGGGGTGGGAGATGACTTCTTGCACCCTTCCTTTGCTCCTGCTTCTGCCTCACTGATCCCCCTCCAGCAGGGAGCTACTATCCCAGCATCTTTCCGTTCTGTGATAAGGGCAGCATATGTCTGGATTACATCTCTGGATCAAAGATCCAAGCTGTATCTTTAGGAATCGCCAAGAAAAGAATGCTCCTCGATCCAGCGCATGTGTTGCTTCTCCACCCTGGTGCCAGAGGGTGTGATTTGAACAAGGCACCACCTCCCGCCTCCCAAGGAGAGCTCTGCGCCAAAGCTACGCTCATGAATGAGAGCTGAGAGCCACACAGTGCTGCTCCTCTTCCTCTCTGGGGGTCAGAGCCAGGCTGGCACCCTCCTTCACTTTTGCTGTTGCAGGTCAGCCCTTCCTGCAATGGTGGGTGCTTGTCCCTGGCGTTGTGGGGTGACAGAGCATCTCCAGGTGTGCCAGGGTGACGGTCCCACTGCAGAGCTCTGGGATGTTCTGCCTGGGTGAGCCTCTGAGTTTTCCCAGAGCCATGTTTGTGTTAAACCACTTACTCTGTTATCTTCCAGAGGGAAATAATTTTTTTTCCCCAGATGAGGAACATTAATGCCATTAAAATAATAAGAGATTTGGAGCATCCCTTTGTTTATAGAGTGACATGCCACAGTGACAGGCACAATATAAATAGCTAAACACTGAGATAACCAAACACTTAGGCTGATGAAAAAACCCCAGCATTTTTCCCATTCCAAATTCTTTAGAGTAATCTGATTTGACCTCCAGCATAATGCATACTTTAATGATGCCTGAATAATGACTAGGCAAGGAATTAACTCCCACAGTGGGTTAATGCACTCACTTTCACCCAGAAGACCTAGGCTCAAATCCCAAATAAATCAAATGGATTTGGTGATCTCATTCCAGTTCCTCAGAGTCCTTTGTTCACAATCTGTGATCTGATAGAGCCAGCAGCCCCTGCCTGCCTCCTGCAGAGAGGGACCAGCCTTTGGGGAACAGAGATGCTGTGGGTTGGGCAGGTGCAGTAGCAAAAACCAGCAAGTCCCTCTGATCCAGAGATCTCAGCTACTGAGACAGCAGGGACAGGGGTAGGAGGGCTTTCACAGATCAGCAGTGTTGCCACACCACTTCCTGGGTATGGGACATTCACTGTTGTCAAGCACCTTGATGTTAAAAAAAATTTTAACTTTTTTTTGAGCATGACTGGTACTCAAATATGAAGTGCCTGAATGTAACCAACCACAGGTTTGTCTCTCCAGGTTTACATGCAGGAGCGTGAACATAATTCACTTAGCCTCTGGCAGGGTCGAGGGAAGCCTTCAGTAGGTGCCTGTGCTGACAGTATTTATGCGTCTTATGAGGATGGTAGTGTCAGCAGGTTGGGATAAAACCATGCACTTATCAAACAGGGAACACGGAGAAAAGATATTTTTCTGGTGTCTGGTTTTCTGCATTACTTTTGTGATCATTGCTAAGGTCACTTGGATGACAATGGAACCTTTGGGTGGCATTTCCAAATCCTGTTACCAAAAGCCAGACTGCTGGCACCCATACTGGAGCCCACAAACACATCAGTGAAAGCT